TTAGTAGCCTTCAGTGAAACATGGCTTAAGATATCAGTATCTAATTTTGAATTTACTATTTTATGTCGGTTGAATTCATTAATAACATTTAATAGATAAATTTAAAAAAAAAATGGTATGACTATGCATATGTTCGACTAATTTACATGCAATGAACGATAATAATATTATTTAAAAATATTTATATAAACCAGACAATATTCTCAGTTACACCCCTTACGCTGGCTCGCCGTCCGCTCCGTCTCTAACTAATAAGAAGAAGAAAGGAAAAAACAGATAACTTCACATAGTTTAAGATAACATTCTTCCCGTTTACTCATACGAAGTTGTCCTGTTACAAGAAGGAGTTACACTTAGAATAATAACGCATAGAATGATAGTTTCATATCAAACGAACTGTCACAAGTGAGGCAAAAATCAAATTCATGTAGGCTAGTTTTAGTAGTAGGTTAATTTTCGGTTTTAGTGAATATTTATGTAAAAATACAAGTTGAAACGCGTTACTTCCTTGTGGAATGTGATGTTAGTATCTATTTTATGTTTGTCTGACGTATTTCGTCATTTTTAGCTAAAATTCTTGATCTGTTCCCGGTGCAAGTTGACCTTGAGCACTGACGGCCCGCCCGCTCGTGTAGGCCCTTTGGGAGCGCTTCAATTTGCCTCACTTAGCGTGTGCGGGCTAGGTTTCTATGCGTTATTATTCTAAGGAGTTTCATTACTTTTTGTCGCTCTAATAATTCTCTTTTCGTGTGCGTCTTAACTAAGTGTTGAGAACTGCTGTTTGTTATTTGCCGCCATTACGCCAATCGTACCATACGGTTCTTGAACACATCATAGAGAGCTTATAATATGTGTATAGATAAAGCAGTGTAATTAATTTAACTGTAAATTATTAGGCATTAAAACACTCGAATGATGTTTTTGTGCATCGAACCGAAACCCAACACTCGTACTTAAATGCCTTTCATTATATAACAGTCACATAATAATAATAATAATAATAATAATAACGCACACACTCAACATAGCCCCGCACTATGGAAACCCTGTGTCGCGGGTGCCATGGACACACACATAGACAACCACAAATCACACCCAAACTCGCGAGAGAAATAAATGTAGGCCATACAAATATTTCTCCCGGCCCGGGAATCGAACCCGGGGACCTCTGCGTGGCAGTCCGGTATGGTAACCGTTTGGCCACGGAGGCAGTTATCAGTACATAGACTACTATATATATAAATAACAAAAATAAAAACGTTTAATTATGTCAACTTAAAAATATAAGCTATACACTGCGTTTCTCTGTTCGACCTTTGTATTAATAATTCATCATCATCACAATTTCAGACAAAAGACGTCCACAGCTGAACATAGGCCATATTTCTGTGAAATTTTATGACTGTCCTATTGAAGCATAAAAAAGTTATTAACTAATTTCATTCATAGAATCTTTGAATCTCTGCTGAAAAGTTGTCACTTTGCATATGTGTCCTTATTACGCCTCTGATGCTGCAATCGAGACAGTCTGCAGACTACCCGACTCTTCAACTACTTAGAAACAAAACGTGATCTGTAAACCCCTATAAGCGTTTTTGTTAAATCTTATTTAGTTTCAGTTTTATTATTACTCCAAATAAGTTATGACACTTACAATCGATGCATGTATAGGTAAATGTATATTTACGAGGCCCATATTTATGTGAAACAAAATCTAAGCAACTTTTAATATGAATTAAAACCTTTGATTCGGCCGGATATGAACCGATGTCTTCTAGCATACCGTGCCAGATACTGTACCAACTAAGCCACGGAACGAACCAGCGGACATTACGAATTTTTCTATGTGTTTGTTGTATTGCTTTGTTTTCCTTACATAACCCTATGCAAGCATATTTAAAATTTCAATACTCGTTCGATTGCGATTTAAATGCTCGATTTAATAATCGATTACTAAACTTTAATTTATAATAATTAACTACAGTTTTCAGCTAATAAATAATATATAATGTGTTCTTAAAAATGAGGTCACAACTGCGTCCTGTGTCAGGACCAGGGATGGGTATCGATTATTGGAAATAATCGACGTATTTGTGGATAATCAATTTTTTTTTTAGTCGATATCATATGGTTCGATTAATCGGATAACCGATGATTTCATACCGATTTCTGCTAAAAAAATAAATCCTTATTTCATAAAAATGTTTTATAAACATGTTAAAATTTGGAAAGCAAAACAACCGCTTATAAATCCAAATGTTCATGTTATTTAGTCGATTTTTGAAAAGTGAGACTTGGGCGCATAATCTACCTTGGCACCAGAAAGAAGATTTACTTAAGCTTATCACAAAATTTGTCTCCACCGCCTTAGAAAAACTTATAATTAATATTGGTGTCTATTTTAAACTACTATATTGTTGTAATTTATGTCATTTGAAATAAGGCGGGAAATGAGGGGTATGTTACGAGGTTCCTATGCAAGCCGCCTGAGCCGCTATCTGTGTTATCGAGGTTATTCTAGAAACCCAAGTACTATTAGATTAGACTTAATGGAGTATTGTCAAGCTTTCTTCATACCCTACCTAATTTTTTTGACTTTAGAAATCAGGTAAACAAAGACGCAGTTTTATTATGAAAACTAATGCGGTTATCACACATTATAGTATAACAGTAACGGGACTTACTCGCGTAGTATTTTAGTTGGAAGCGGTCCGACTAGTTTCAACCATAATCGATGGTCTTCATCAGGAGTTGAGTGCACGTTCGATACTGCGTCACGTCTAGCACTGCGCGCTGCGGCTCTCTGCGCGCGCGCCGATGACGCAGTCCGCAGTGGGGAACTCGGGGGGCTGTTAAACGTATCAGCGTACCAGGACGCGCGTCCTGGAACTCTTATTTTTGCTACTTCTGTCCGTAGAATTGTTGTCGGGAACAGTCCAGCACACAGAGCTCACCACGTCGTTACTACTAACATCTGCAGCTGCATACCGAGGGCCATGAAAACACGGCTTCCAGGTCGGTGGCAAGCGCCAGCCTCCGTCTCTATTAAAATTTGGTCGCCTACTTATTTCAATAGCCTCTCGGATTTTGCGAGGCACAGAATACTTCCCCCGCGCTAAAACCTTAGCGTTGTCAAAACGAATGTAGTGACCAGTACTAGACGTGACGCGGTCGCGAACGTTGCACTCAACCCCTGATGAAGACCATCGATTATGGTTGAAACTAGTCGGATCGCTTCCGACTAAAATACCACACAAAGAAGTAGTGTTTGTAATCCGTAAGAGATGAAAGTGACGTTATAAAATTTGACTTACACAGTTAAAAATTCGCCAACAAGGATATGACGTAATGCGATCCATTGAAATATTTATATTTTGTCGATTAATCGATTTTTTAAGGCACGTTTAATCGGTATATCGATTGTTTTGTCAAAAAAATAATCGATGTCAATAATCGATGTTTTGTTGGTCGATACCCATCCCTAGTAGAAATAGGAAGATATAGGAAACAGGACTGCGTCCGAATAGCTTTTCAATTGTACTGCGATTGCAATTTTGCAATAAAGGTCGTGTGACCTCACGAATTAACTCACCTATTCCAGGTCTAACCACACAGATAGGCAAATGGGCACCCATAGTCCTGACTATTTCTTCAGCCACTGCTTTCGTGAACGTGTACGTGTTGGGCCAATCCTTTAAAATGCTGTGAACAGAAGTATGCCATCGTTAAAAACTCTGACAAAAACTTGTGTATTCTTTCCGTCTGGTGTGATTGTGGACGAACGCACGAGTATCTTGAAAATTTTTAAGATGCGTCTTCAACTCTTATTGGAGCCCTTCAATATCTTAACATTCAACCAAATTGTTTTCGGTTTTTCAAAGTCACGTTTTCTGAGTTTATATATTTACTGACACGAACACTAACAGCATGTGTACCTTTAGACTTTAATCGTGCACGTTATAAACTTCCGATTAGAGTTTCGTTATAAAAGTTGCGGAAGCAGAAACGGGAACATATGGGAAAAAGCGTGCGGAACTTCCGCAGTTGCAAAAGCAGAAGCAGAGGTCTGTTGCATCACTAATGTGTTGCGATCAGGTTGACCTGTTACATGGCGAGAATAATAAGTTCATCAAGGTCATTGAGGACACAATTTATGGGTTCACATAAACTACAAACTTAACAAGATACTGTGTTTCAAAATACAGCTAACGTCATCCGCCAAAAGCGGTGGGCGATGGAAATAATTGTTTGTTGACAGGTTTTTTTTAATCTTTACTTACGATGGCGTCATATCGTGCAGTATATTCGATTCGATGTTTTCACTCATCTCGATTAGGAGCTTAGGAGCTATGGGGGTATCGTAGAAAGCCTCGGCGATATCGGTCCCGCGCCTAGATAGTGTTGCGTGAGAGAATGCAGTTGATACGTGAACTATGGATCTGTGAAACAGGTAGTTAAAATAGTGATTGTTGTGTTTATTATTATTATTATCAATAATATTTCCTTATCTAGACAGAAACGTCACACTTCACTGTAAGGCCCTGACTTCCGAGCTAGGTTCAATGATCTGTGTTACGGAAATCAGTGTCTTCTCTCATAATTAGTTACACTTGCGTAGAAGAACGCAAGTCACCGACATAGCTCAAAGGATTAGCAAGTTAAAGTGGCAGTGGGCAGGGAACATAGCTCGTAGAACTGACGGCCGTTGAGGCAGAAAGGTTCTCGAATGTAGACCACGAATCGAAAGGCGTTCAGTGGGACGGCCCCCTACTTGATGGACAGATGACCTGGTAAGGGCGGCGGGAAATCGATGGATGCACGTTGCGTCCGATCGGCTGGTCTGGAAATATATCGGGGAGGCCTATGATCAGCAGTGGACGACTTCCAGCTGACATGATGATGATGATGATGGGTTTATATATCTGCTGTTAATGTAATATTTATTAATATGGGTGCGTGTGTGTGTGTGAGTGTGTTAGTGTGTGTGCGTATTAAATAACGTTCTTACAAAAAACACCCGATACACTATAAGGATATTGTGTAAAGAATGTGCTAATTCCATTGACTTACAAATAAATGGACGACGGGTCTAATACAAAAACCACGAAAAAAATGTCCCAAGTCAACCTATTTAAACGTAGTGACATGTAAAGGAATATGAAAAAGCTAAAACGTTGAATTTAAATTGTAATGTCATCGCAGTACTGTCTAATTTTGCTTGCTTCGCTGTCAGTCGGACAAACGAAGACTAAAGCGTGAATGACGCTCTGTATACGAATTTAACGCCCTATAAGTTCGGACACTTTTTGCGCGGACCCGACGTTCATATAATTGTAAGTCAATGGCTAATTCGTTATAATTATTAGTAGGTACAAAGATCGCTACAAAGATAAGAAACACTTTGTTGAGTGTGTGCGTTATTATTATTATTATTATTATTATTATTACTTAGATAAAACGAATTTTTCCATGTGCTTGCTTTGTCGGATCTTTGTATTTGGTTTTCACCGACTTTTTAGCCGTAGCGCCATCTATGACAAATCTATGAAAGTATTTTTAACAAATTAGTGGAGTAATTTCAGAAAAATAATTGAATATCAATTCAACTGTACTTTACCCGATTCCTTTCTTTTTTCCGAAGGCAGTATAGATATCATTATTACACACACTACACTATGCACTACCATGATATTCATAAACGTTTTGTGAAAATAGTCATTCATTTAATTCATTTAATTCATTTAATTCATTTAATCCTTTGTGATACACAGGTTATAAAGGTTCATTACATATTTAGTTAGTGTCACTGTGATCCGCCCAGCGGCATACAAAGTTTATTCGCCTAGCGGCGTACAAAGTTTATACATTTGTCATAAAAATAATTAAAAGTTCAAATAATTGATTAATTGATGAAATAAAAATTATATAAGGAATAAGTCAAATCAACATTCTAATATAAAATAATAATAAAAAGCAATTATAGTTAAATTTATACATCGTAAGTCAAATTAATTCTTGCACATTTTGCTCAGTCTGATTTTATATAATCAGTCAAATAATCATTAATATTATAGTAACATTGAGTAACCAATAAATTAAACAACTTAATTTTGAATAGACTGTAGTTTAGTGTCTTTATGGTCTCTGGTAATTTATTAAATAATTTGGGTCCCAAAACAAATACTGTGTTATTGTAGAATTGCAAGTTTGGTAGTTGTTTGGGCCGTATTACAAGGTTATTTCGTGCTTTCCTAGGATAACTGGTTTGTACCGAAGAGAATTTGTCTGGATTTTGTTTAACAAAAATACATGCTTCATAGATGAATAGTCCACTAGTTCGTTGTTATTATTAATACAAATATTTATCAATACTTATCAATATATATCAATACTTATAAACTAGCAAGTTCTCTAGCAAGTAAATATCGAGTAAGAATAAAGAAAAAATCTTTCGATTTGAACCAGTGTCTGTTGCCTCACCGTGTTTAGCTTACCTAATGTTCTTGCACGCTTTTCCCAACCGAATCATCTCTCGTGTCCCCCTGACATTCGTGAAGACAGCCTGTTTGAGAGTCTCATCGAAGTTAACGGTCGCTGCCACGTGGATTATTATATCCACCTGAAAATTAAACACATTTCGGAATTTTTTATCACTAAATAAGTTTTTGCGAATAACGAATTTGACTTCCGTCTCACTGTCACCCGATGGAAAGTGATGATGACGTCGACTCGAGCATGCACACCTATTTATGTATACAATCTTTTATAATAGCAAGTATCAGGACGTAACTGTGAGTCCCACGTGCCTATAATTTCACCAAATCAAATAATGCCTATTCACTCTCGCCTTGAAAAGGTCCAACTAACAGCGCTTAGGGAAAAACCCCGCAGAATACCACTCTATAGTCGTTCGCCTTATAAATGTGACAGCCTAATGTTTCGTGCGCATCCTTGGAATATCCTCAACCTAAGCAGGCAACTTTACGGCGGTGTCCAAGACTGCAGCTTCAGTCTAATACGCTCTAATCACTTTTAACTGCTTGTTGGTCTTCAACTGAATCCAAGATGGCTAGTTGGTATTTAGCAGAACCATTCCATAGGTGGCAGCAGTATTCCATACACGACCGGACTTGTGCTTGGTATAGCTAAAACAACTGTCCCGGTGTTGCGCATTGCACCTAGTTATGCAATGCGCTACGGGAAGTGAGCGTGCCTACAACTCCGGTACCTATCTGGAAAATAGGGTACATGTCAAGTAACAGAGGCCTGTGACAATCCTGTAGATCAACCAGTGCTGATCTGGGGTCAGAACCTGAACTTGTAAGGTTATAGTGCCCTTCTCGTATACCCTCAGGGTCGGTAGGGAGTGTCACTATAATCAAAACTAATGTCGAAAGATATGGGGTTGTCCCGGTGTGAGTTGTCCCTATCTACCGAGGGAGTTCCGAGGAGACTACGGGCTCGACGGCAAGACCAGGAAATTTCTAAGGTCCGTGGATTCGTTCCGTGGCTTAGTTATCATAGCGTTTAGCACGATTTATTGGAAGACACTGGTTCGAATCCAGTCGGATCCAAGGAATATTTCTTAGAGTTTGTTCTTTGTATTCATAATTTATTATTATTTTTGTCAAACGCAACATTTATGTCCTCGGGCATTTTCTCACAGGCAGCCGTACAATGAGAGACTGGACTTTTTCACAATGTCATCACTACGCGTCTGACGTTGAGTTACGAAACTGTTATAATAACAAGACTACGTAGTGTTCTGGTCTTCTCAACAAAATTAATCTTGCTGTACCTTACAACTATCCCAGACAACCAGTACGAAAAGTGTTCAATATCACAGGACTAATTTAGGTTTGCATTGTCCCCTGTCCAGGTCATCCCGCGAACCAAAGCCAAATAATTTATTTTAGTTTTACACTCAAAAACGTCATTTTTTTCTACTGCTCGTTTACTGCGCTGATCTCCCTGAGAAGAACGAGCAAGAAACTCTAGGAATTTCTCTTTTCAAATAAACTTAAGTGTTATAGAAGACATTTTGAATCATATTTGTGTGGAATCTAGACCCTTGTTGTCTTTCCATACATCTTTATCAAACACGTAGTCTACAATTTTGTAATATGATTTTTCAATTGAAATACTTTTAGCGTAAGTTTTAAACTTAGGAAATGGTAATCTTAATATATGCTCCGGAGTCTTATTGTAAAAACGCAAACAGTTCCCCATAAAAGAATCGTTTACCTTAGGAATGTAACGAAATCACTCTTACGGCTCATTTCATAGATATTTATATGATTCGCCAAATGTTTTCAAAATTAAACTTTTGCATTATTCAAATGTTGCATAGGCTCTTTTAAGCCTCCCATTTCGATATATTAACATGGAATTTATTGTTAATGTTTAGATGGTTCTTGGCAACTGTTGAGTATTTTTTGATACCACTGTTTGTAACGTGTTATGATGTGAATTGTTAGGCATATATGATTTGTGTACCTTTATATAAAATATAGTTATTGGTTATGCAAAGTATGAAAATCTGGAACAACATACCGCTACCAATGCGTTCTTCACAATCCGTTTATGCGTTCAAATGTCAACTCAAAGAGCACATTCTAAATCTACAAAACACGTCTGGAACAATTTTATTTGTGTAATGCGCCTCAAAATACAAAATTAAAAAGAAAAAGCAGAGTGAATCTTTGTTGGGACATTAGCTGAAATGTTATGTTTCCTATTTAATTATATTGTTTCATGTTTAAGTTTTTATTTAACTCGCGTCCACGTTTTGTTTTTATTTTATTCATATATTTTTATTTCTTTTAATCGGCATTTTCGAAAAGGGTCCACTGAAAACCAGCGTTGTGGCCCTGCCGCAGTATTAGCTGAGTTGGGTCCTTTTCAGTGCAATAATACACTTTTAATACTAATTATTAATATTGTACTCCACGTGTATTGTGCTGAATAAATTACTTTTCTTTCTTTTTTTCTTTCTTTCTTTCTTTCAAAGCTATACAGTTGATGTTTGCCGCGAGTGCTTGAATTAAAACCTGAAAAAGCGAAGGATTCTAAGGGTCGTATTCTAGAACTCTACTCAATGCTCAAGTCAGGATTTGAGTATGGTTTAAAGCACTCGAAATCATACTCAAGTCTTTATAATATTAATAATAAATTTCTTTATTTCCTCCACAAAATTTAGATATAACCAACGAACAAATTTGATCTTATGAAATAGCAATTTGTGGACACTGGTGCCTAAACTAGGATACCCTGTGTTTTAGGTCACCAGGCCTCCACCTCCAGTAGATATGTGGCCAACATGTGTAGTAAACAAAAAAAATAAAAACAATGATAAGCATGCATTGAAGTGTGTGCGTGTGTGTGCGTGGGGGGTTGTGTGTGTGTGTGTGTGTGTGTGTGTGTGTGTGTGTGTGTGTGTGT